GGGTACTGACTACCAGCCAATCAAAGCCTCCCAGTGGGACCGGGAAAGTCAGAGGCTGGGACCAGAGAGACGGGGATTGAGAATGGTGAGCAGGGGGGAGGGGGGGCAGCAAAGTCACATCCTCCAGAAGGAGACGGAGACATATCTCAGATCTTCCTCCCCCCCTACACACACACACACACACACACACACACACACACACACACACACACACACACACACGCCTGACACAATGGCCGGGTGGGGCTGAGGAACTGGCTTCCTTTGCGGAGATCTCAATCTGGGCCTTGGGTTCCCGTCCCAGAAACACAGGAACAGACACTCGGAGACCTGGCCCCATACTCCTTGCTCCAAGGGGCAGGCAGGACAGGCTGAAAATACAAACCGCTTCCAAAAAGATAAAGGTAAATTCAGGGGGAGTTACTGCAGAGTTCGGGAGGGGGAAACCTGGGGAGGGGATCCCTTGGTGTGAAACAGTGGGCTGGCTCAAGCCCAGGGGAACAGGTTGGAAGCTAAAGGGACAGGCAGGCGGGTGAGGTGCGGGAGAGACGGTCAGACATGCCCTGGAAGAGCACACACGGCAGCCCTCGGCTGATACAGAGCTGTCCTACTGTCAGCCCAGCCTGTGCCCTTTTCATCCCATCCTCACCCCACCCGTTCACCTCACCCCTCGAGCCCCCATCTGCACAGCAATGCACACAGAACGTGCACTTACAGAACAGCCTGCTGCCCACACCCCAGTTTCAGCTTCCCCCAGACCCTGCTAACCTCAGAAACCCAGGGCGCAGGGTCCATCACATCTTCCAGAGCCCGGTGTGCGCATGTGGAGTGGAGTGTGGTTTAGGGGGGTGTCCGGTTGGGAGGAGGACTTGACTCCTGTTTCCTGCTCCTACTCACTCAGCCCTAGGAGGTGACTGAGAGTGGAGGGGACTCAAGGGTGAGTGCTTGGGTCTGATGCCTGGGTCTCTGTGAGGCCAGTGGGGGAGGGGGGATGAAGTAAACAGTAAACAAAGGTACCTGAGAAGGTGGGTGGGATCCCTGAGTGGGGCAGAGCTGGGGAGGGGCTGGCGAGTTAGCTAGGCCACTGCCTGGGGCATTTTGATAAGGGGCTTCCTGCCAGGATACAGAGGCCATTGAGCTGCAAGACAGTCCACAGCCTTAGCCCCAACCTTGCCTCATTTCTCAAGAGCCCAATCTGGGGCCTGGAGGGGTCTAACTCTCCTGCTGACTCCTGAAGGGAGCTGGGGTCACCCCCTGTCTCCCAGCCCTGACCCTGCAGTCTTCTCAGGATTACAGCAGCCCTCCCAGAGGGAGGAAGCGCAGCCTAGGTCCTATGTCCTGGTCCCACTTGTTCTTGCCTTCAGTCTGGTCTCCTCACCACCATTCAGGCATCCTGGCAGTACCCGGACTTCCACTGGGGCCTCTTTCTCTGTGACCATATGGGTGGGATAGGGGCAGGCAGGGATAAGAGAATGGGGCAGGAGAGACCATGTCCGGGGCCTCCTGGTCTCTTGGGGTCAGAGGCTCCAGGAATCTTTACGGCAGGAAAAGGAGACTAAAAATAATCCGGAAAGGGAGAGTCCGGAGAGAGGAACTGGGAAATGGGGGGCGGAGGGCCAGTTGGAGCAGGGAAATAGTGATGCATCCCTCACAGCCCAGGCACGAGCACTCGGGCCTGTGTGTGTGCGTGCATGTGTGTGTGTGTGTGTCTGCGCACATATCCCCACAAAGACAACACATCACACACATAAACCCTCGCACCCCTCTCCCTCCACCAACCCACACTGTATACTCCACTCTCCCACTGCATACCCACCCTCTCAGCACATAACAAATACCCTCTCGAAACACATCATACAACACCCCTTTCACATAGCACTAGAAACAGCACACACAATTAAACCACACTCAAACACACTCACAAACCTTCACAACACACACTACAGACACACAACACAGTTCCTCAAGCAGATGGGTTGCGGCTATACTGGTGAGCTACACTCCCCTTACTGACCCCATTCTCTTGTACCCTCTTCCCCGCTTGGGTCTCTACCGAGGCACCCCCACTCTAGCCTCACTGTCTCCTCCAGCCTGACTGTGGCAGCTGAAGCCAAAAGACAGAGAGAAACACACAGAGAGAAACTGAGGCTGAAAGCCTGCCTGGGAGAGCAGAGGGGCCTCAGGAATGAGGAGGACGGGTGAGAGGTGGAGAGAGAAGACTGGGAATGGGAAGGAAGGAGAGGATGTGCACCAGCCTTCCCTCCTGACTCCAAATCATGGCTAATTTGCTGGCAAACAATATCTGCTCAGAGGCCTCAGTCTACTCATGGCAGGCCAGGGGTCACACTAAGGGTCTTTCTTTCTCCCTCCCTCTTCCTCAGGGGATGACTCCAGCAGAGCACCCCACTCCTTTGAAGAGCTCAGGGGAAGATGTCAGACCAGTCTCTTCCTATAGCAACACCCCCTACCCAGAAGCCCCCTCGGATCATCCGCCCCCGCCCTCCCTCTCGACCTCGGGCTGCCCAGTCCCCAGGGCCCCCGCACAATGGCTCCTCTCCTCAAGAATCCTCTGTCACCGCCAATGATGCACCAACCCCAATGTGCACCCCCATCTTCTGGGAACCCCCAGCCTCTTCCCTCAAGCCCCCTGCCCTTCTGCCCCCTTCAGCTTCTAAGGCCAGCCTCGACTCCCAGACTTCCCCAGACTCACCTTCTAGTACCCCCAGTCCAGTGTCCCGGCGCTCCATCTCCCCAGAACCTGCTCCCAGGTCTCCAGTCCCCCCTCCCAAACCCTCCGGCTCACCCCGCAGGCCTCTGCCCCTACCCCATACAGCCTCCCCCGTTCCAGCCCAGGATGGCTCTGCCTCTGCCCCAGGCACTGTACGGAGACTGGCTGGCAAATTTGAATGGGGGGCTGAAGGCCGGGTCCAGGCTGCAGATGCCCCGGAGCTAGCTTCCCAAGGGGGAGCTGATGTGAATGGGGAGAGAGAGACTCCCCAGGGCATCCTCATGAGAAGGGGCTCTCAGGAGAATGGCGCTCCGGGTAAGCACTTCATGGGGCAAGGGTGGACTCAATCCAGCTCACCTTTTTTTGTTTTCAGTGCTTTTAGGCTGGGTACTTTCAGGTGCCACATTTTCAAAACTGGACTTTATGTTTGGAAAACCTGATTTCCATATTTCTGGGAGTTTGAAGAGAGTCAGTGTTGAAGAGTAGATGCCTGAGGCTGAACCATGCATGTTCCAGCTGCCGGGCAGGTTAAGGGGGAAGGAGGAGGCCTAGGCAGGGTGGGGCCCAGCCCTAAGGGTCTTTTCCTTAGGACACCCTGTCTCCCACAGATGCTGCCCAGGCCTGCCCTCCCTGCTGTCCCTGTGTCTGCCATGTAGCCCGGCCTGGCCTGGAGCTCCGATGGGTCCCTGTGGGGGGCTTGGAGGATGGCCCCAGGGCACCCTGCCGAGCCTCCCCACTGCGGACCTCCCGCTCCCGCCCCAACCCTTCCAGCAACAGTCACCCCTCAGTGGTCCTCACGTCCTACCGCTCCACTGCTGAGCGCAAGCTCCTGCCACCTCTCAAACCCCCAAAGCCAACTCGGGTCAGGCAGGATGCCACCAGCTCTGGGGACTCCCCACAGCCAGATCTCGATCTGCCGTCTGAAGATGGAAGCCAAACAGGTACCCGGGCCTGGAGGAGTGGATTCTTTGGCTGGGAAGGGAAGGGGTGGAGGTGAAGTGATCTAAAAATGAACAAACTACAACTCCCATTAGGCTCTGAGCTTTTTTTGTTCCTCCACCAGCTGCTGCTCTAGGGCTCACGGAAGTTGTAGTTTTTATAGTAACAGTCTCTGTTGGGGCAGGAGTCAGGAGTCCTGAGCTGGGGATCCTGGATATTTATTCTCTTCACTCTGGATTCTCTCTCCAGGGAATATTCCGGATGAAGCTCCTCAGAACGCCCCTCCAGCAACCATGGAGGGCAGGTACCAAACACCCCAGCCTTACTCCTACCTGAGGGCAGACTCCCTGCCAGGCCTTGCTGAGTCCCACCTCCACAAAGGTGGAGTGAAGAAAGCCTGGGGCTCTAGAGACAGTCCTGGTTTCCTATCTCAGCTCTGCCCCTTATCAGCTATGTGACCTTATGTTAGTCACTTAACCTTTCTGGGTCTCAGGGGGTCAAATGGGGGTTAAGCATACCCACTACTTCAGAGAGTTGTCGGGTGTAACATTGGTAAAGAGCCTGCCCCTAGTAAGTGCTCCATTTTAGTTCCCCCACTTTAAGCCTCTCTCGTGATTACTGTCTGCGAGTCTATTTGGCAACCACGAACACCTCTTCTGTGTGATCTGGGCTCTTCATGGTATTAGATTCACCACCATTATCAAAGTTAATCTGAGCCCATTCATTTATTCAACAAACATTAGTGGTGTTTATTCTCCCGGGTTTTTAGCTTGGATGAATGGGTCTGCGGGTGCCAACAGCCAGAACAGGAAACACAGAACTGCAGGTGAAGGCGAGGTACAAGTTAGGGTCTGATCATGTTGCATCTCACCGAGGCACAGAGAGGACATTTCAGACTGAGATTGCGGTGTGAGAGAGCTGGAGATAAAGTCTTAGAAGTCTCTGGTACACAGTAGTTGAATAACAGGAGTAGATGGAGCCTGCTTAGTTCAGGGCCTCCCATACAACAGGCACATAAAAAAATCTGGAGTTTGGTCTGGGGAGCACCAGGGTCCCAGCATACAACCTTACACTACCATGTGGTTAGCACCCTTGGAGGTGTGCAACAGGGTGGCTCTGGGGGCTCCATCCCTTTTTCTGTCTGCAGGGATGAGGAGAGCCTGGAGGAGCTGAAGGAGCAGAACTGGGAGCTGCCCCTGCAGGATGGTGAGGCTTCTGGGCCTGGGGAGTCTCTGTTGACCATCAAGCTTGGGGAAGGGCTCTGGGGCACTGGGCTTCCCTAATGTGCTATATCTGCTCTCCAGAACCCCTGTACCAGACCTACCGAGCAGCTGTGCTGTCAGAGGAGCTGTGGGGCATTGGTGAGGATGGGAGTCCCTGTCCAGCAAACCCTGGAGAAGCTCCCACCTTTGCCCGGCTCCCTGGCCCTCGAAACACTTTGTGGCAGGAGCTTCCAGCTGTGCGAGCCAGTGGCCTCCTGGACACCCTCAGCCCCCAGGAGAGGCGCATGCAGGAGGTGGCATACCTGGGGTCTGGCAAGGGCAGGAGTGTGACCCGGGTCCTGGGCTGACTGGGAACTGGGCTTTCCATTTCCACCATGCCCTTCCTCCTCAGAGCCTGTTTGAGGTGGTGACATCCGAAGCCTCCTACCTGCGCTCCTTGAGGCTGCTGACCGACACCTTTGTGCTGAGCCAGGCCCTCCGGGACACGCTTACCCCCCGGGATCACCACACCCTCTTCTCCAATGTGCAGAGAGTCCAGGCAGTCAGCGAGCGGTCAGTGGGGTCCTGCCCTCTCAGCAAACCAGGCCTCAGACTGCTGAGCGCCCCATAACTTTCACCCTGTTCCAGCGCCTCCCTCCCACAGGCCCAGTTAGTACCCAGCCCTTTCCTCAAGAACCCAGGAGACCTGGCTCTCTGCCCCCCTTCATTGATTGCTCCCCCACCCCTTCAGGTTTCTAGGGACGTTACTGTCCCGTGTTCGCTCTTCCCCCCACATCACCGACCTTTGCGATGTGGTGCATGCCCACGCCGTGGGTCCTTTCTCGGTATATGTGGATTATGTGCGCAACCAGCAGTATCAGGAGGAGACCTACAGCCGCCTTATGTGAGTGTCCCAGAGGCGGGGGCCAGGACACATTCGTGGGAAAGCTGGGGAGCAGGGTCAGGGTTCCGGGGCCTCAAGGCTGGCTAAAGCCAGCAGCCTGGGCCTGCTTCTGCAGGGACACAAATGTGCGCTTCTCTGCGGAGCTGCGGAGGCTGCAGAGCCTCCCCAAGTGTGAGCGGCTCCCACTGCCGTCCTTCCTGCTGCTGCCGTTTCAGCGCATCACCCGGCTCCGCATGCTGCTGCAGGTACCGTGTTGGCTCGAGGCCTTTTCTTCCCCAAGTTCTCTGTTAGAGAACTCTCCCCGGGGCCTCCTGCCTGGCCATCACCATCTCCCACTCCACCATGCACACAGGACTTCCCTAAATCAGACCTCTTAATCAGGGCCTCTCAGTCCAGGACCAACCAAACCCTGAGCAGAGCTACCCAAATGTTTCAAGGAGCAATCTGGGTGCAGGAAATGAACCTCTGGCTAGAGACAGGAGTTCTAGACTTGCCTCTGCCACAAACTGACTGATTGATCTTGGGCAAGTCCCGTTCTCTCTCTGGGTCTCAGGGGGAATGTGGTGGCAGGTCTTTGAGATCGCCTCAGTTGTATCTTTCGTTGCACACCTCCCCAATGGGGGTGATAACACCCCAAGGAGGCAAAAATTCATTCTTTGGGAGGTAAAAAAAATCTTAAATATTCCAATGACTGTGGTGCTCCAAAGGGCCATAGTACATAAAAGATATACAGCATATCTGTGGTATTAAAATTTTGAAAAAGGCTCCTTAGCAGGATGATACTGAATTAAAAAAACAACAACATTGAGAAACACTCTCTTATGGCAAAATAGAAACTTTTCCCTAAACCAGGGCACCCAGTGTGGGGATCTCGATGAGAAGAGTTCCCAACTAGATGAGCAGCACCTTTATGTCTTAGTCAGTGTAATATACCCCCAGTGTAGGCAAAATCATCGTAGTTAATAATCATAGTAGTTAAACAGTTATTGAGTGCTCTGTTCTTGGCATGGTCCTAAGTGCTGAATACCCAGTTAACCTTACTAATGACTCTGAGGGGAGAAATCATTATTGACCCCAGTTTATAGATGAGAAAACTGAGGCACAGAGAGGTTAAATAACTTGCCCCAGGTTATCCAGCTAATAATTGGTGGAGACAAATTTTAATTCCAGGCACCTTTAACCATTGTGCTGTATTGTTTGTACTAATAGTTGCGGTTAATAATTATTAAAATAATGGCAACCTTCTTTTCAGCATTTACTATGGGCCAATAATTATGTTAAGTACTTTACCTGCTGAATCCTCACAACAGTGCTATTGGTAGGCCAGGTGGGTACTGTCCCCATTTTACAGATGTGGAAACTGAGGCTCAGAAAGGCAACTTGACTTGCTCAGGGTTAGGCAGATGGTGAGTGGTGAGATCTCTCAGCCTTGTTGAGGTTGGGTCCTCTACCCTGTGAATCCCAAACTGAGAATTTTGCCAAGCCAGGCAAGGGTCCTCTGAGCCGCAGCACCTCTGAATCCCAGGGCCGCAGAGCAGGGGCCCAGTCACCCTTCCTCCCTGTCCTCAGAATATCCTGCACCAGACAGAGGAGGGGTCCAGCCGCCAGGAGAATGCCCAGAAGGCCCTGGGTGCTATCAGCAAGGTGGGTAGCAGGAGATGCTGAAATCAGGGGAGGGGAAGGGGGGGAAGGGGAGAGGGAAGATGTGGAAGGGAGTAGGGGTGGGTGACTCAGCTCCCTGTACCCAGATCATTGAACGCTGCAGTGCTGAGGTGGGGCGCATGAAACAGACTGAGGAGCTGATCCGGCTCACCCAGAGGCTCCGCTTTCACAAAGTTAAGGTTAGCCTCTGCCCACACTCCCCGCCTTCCCTTTGCCCATGGCGATGCTATGAAGAAGCCAGAGAACCTCCTCCCTGCTTCCTCCCAGGCCCTGCCCCTGGTCTCCTGGTCGAGGCGCCTGGAGTTGCAAGGGGAGCTGACGGAGTTAGGGTGCCGGAGGGGGGGCGTGCTCTTCACCTCGCGCCCCCGCTTCACTCCCCTCTGCCTGCTGCTCTTTAGTGACCTGCTGCTCATCACTCAGCCTAAGAGGTGAGTCCCAGGGAGGGTGGGAACCCAGGCAGGGGTGGGGAGGAGGAATCCAGTTGGACTTCTGCTCTCCCTCTGAACTTCCTCTTCCCTGGGCAGTGGGCAGCGACTACAGGTGCTGGACTATGCCCATCGCTCCCTGGTTCAGGCCCAGCAGGTTCCAGACCCCTCTGGACCCCCTACATTCCGCCTCTCCCTTCTCAGCAACCACCAGGGCCGCCCCACCCACCGGCTACTTCAAGCTTCGTCCCTGTGAGTTGTGTCTCCTAAAGGGGACCTTCACCTGACCTCTCAGAGCCTACCACCCTCCTCCCCAATCTCTCTCCTCTGTGGCCCCTGCTTAATCCCCAGGAAGATCTCCTGGGCCAATTGTGACCCTCTCTGTGTCCCACCAGATCAGACATGCAGCGCTGGCTGGGAGCCTTCCCCACCCCAGGCCCCCTTCCCTGCTCCCCAGACACCATCTATGAGGACTGTGGTGAGTAACCCCCAGGGGGAAGAGAGAAGGAAAAGTGAGTCTTAAGGGGAATATGAGGCAGAAGCTAAAAAGGGTCTTGATCTTGCTGTAATATCATCCATCCCCATCCAGACTGTTCCCAGGATCTGTGTTCAGAGCCTTCTACACCAGCCAAGACTGAAGGACCGAGTCTGGAGTCCAGGGCTCCCCCCAAGCACCTGCACAAGAGCCCTGAAGGTGAGAGATTCCCTTATTTCTTCATTCAATAAATATGTATTAAGCACCTGTGAGGTGCCGCTCTCTGTCTTAGGCACTGTGAACCAAACACACAGATGTTCCTGTGCTGCTGGAGCATGCATTCTAGTGGAGGAGAAACAATAAAGAATAAATGAGATAAATAATGTATAGTGTGTCCAAAGGGGATGAGTGCTATGGAAAAATGAAAGTGCAGCTGAGTTAAGGAGGTCAGGAGTCCCAGGCTTGGGTGGGTTATAAGTTTCTTTTCTTTTCTTTTTCTTTCTTTTCTTTTTTTCCAGAGAGATAGGAAGGGAGAGGGAGAGAGAGATAGAAACACCCATGATGAAAGAGTCATTGATCGGCTGCTTCCTGCATGCCCCCTACTGGGGATTGAGCCCACAACCCAGGCATGTGCCCTGACTGGGAATTGAACCGTGACCTCTTGATTCATAGGTTGATGCTCAACCACTGAGCCATGCTGGCAGGGCTTCACTGATTTTTAGAAAATGTGGCAGGGAAGGAGGAGGGGGCAGAGAGAAAAAGAGAGAGAATAAAAAACATCCATGTGAGAGACACATCTCTCACATGTTCGACTAAGGCCTGGGATGGAACCCCTAACCCAGGTATGTGCCCTTGGACTGGGAATCAAACCCTTGACCCTTCAGTGCATGGGCCAACACTAGAACCACTGAGCCAAACCAGCCAGGGCTGGGTTATAAGTTTAAATAGGGAGGTTAAGGTGGACCTCAATGAGGAAGCACCATGTCAGCCATGACTTGATGGAGGTGAGGAATTTAGCCATGTGGCATCTAGAGGAAGAATGTTTCAGTCAGAGGCAAGAGTCAGTGCAAAGGCACTGTGGTTAGTGTGTTTGAGGAAACAGTAAGGGGGCAAGTGTGGCTAGAGGGAATGAGGAGAAGGGAGAGAAGCAGAAGAGGTCATAGAGATAACAAGGACCAGATCATGTGGGTTCTTGTAGATCCCTGTAAGGATTCTGGCTCCCACTCTGAGTGAGACAAGCAGCCTTTGCAGGGCTTGGCAGAGGAGTGGCCCTCACCCTCTTTTATGTTATTGTCACCTCCACCTCCAATGGCCTTTCTACCAATGCTCCAGGTTCTCTGCTAATTCCTACACTCACCATGATCCTCAGGCATTAGACCCCATGGTGCCTCCTTTCCCTCCTGACCTGTCCCGTTTCCTGGCTCCACTTGGGCCCGTGTCTCTTTTTCTCCAGGCTGGCTGAAGGGGCTTCCTGGGGCCTTCCCTGCCCAGCTGGTGTGTGAAGTCACAGGGGAACATGAAAGGAGGAGGCATCTTCGCCAGCACCAGAAGCTCCTCGAGGCTGTTGGACCCTCTTCAGGAACCCCCAGTGCCCCCCAACCCTAATGAATGTGGGGGAGGGGGCACAGGCTGGGACAGCTGGCAGCTGGCACAGAGAGGACAAAGCTCATCCATCTATGGGATTCGCTGTCAGTGGAAACACTACCTCGAGCCCAGGGGGCGGGGAGAACGAGGGTGGTTTGAGTGTTGCCAATGGAGACAGAGGCTTAGTGCAGAGTTCCAATGGGTGCTGAGCTGGCTGATCTGGACCCAAGAGATCAGCAGTGAACCTGCTGGTTCTACAGCAACAACCAGTCCTACCCTTTGGGTCTAGAAAATACTAGTTTTCGTTCTCAGGGTGCCTCCTGTGTCTTTTCAAGCCACTTTTTCTCTTCTAGAAGAATCCACTGTTTCTCAGAGAATCTGTGAGTGTGTGTGTGTGTGTGTCTGCGTGCATGTGTGTGTATGTACCTGTTGAGTGTGGTATGTGTGTGATCTTACCTCCTCCCAGATGACTGACTGTCCCATTTCTTCCCTCAGCCCCCATTTTAACTATTAGCCTCTCTGAGAAAGGCACTAGATCTGAGTGTCAGAGGAGAATTAGTTGTGTGTGGCTTGGCACCCAGAGGCCAGAGCTGGGGATGAGAGCCCTGGGATCTGGGTCTCCTGGAGGCCAGAGCTCCATGACAATTGGAGGGTGATGTTATGGAGCAGACAAGCAGCTTGGCAGAGGAGCCCAAGGGTTGAAGATGGCCAGTAGCTGGGGCCCGAGGTCTCTGGAAGCCCACAAGCCCTTCTCCTTGCTCCAAAGCTTGGCGTCCATAATCTTTGCCAGGAAATCCCCTGACTGAACTATAATCAGCATCCAGCTCACAATTGGGCTTCAGACTGGCTCTTGAACCCAGGTTTGGGTGAAGAAACGGAAGCTGTGGATCATGGTTCAGCTGCTGAACCTCCAGGGGTTTCTTGCCTTCATCCTGGTCCTCTTGAAGAAACATGGGGCTAAGCAGTGGGCAGAGAATGGAGAGCAGTGTTGCTGCCCAACCCTCTCCAGAGTGTCTGCTTCCAGATGAGAACTGCCCCCGGTGATGCCAGAAGGAGGTGAGGGACCGAGAGAGAGTGGAGCAGACAGTTGCTGGGGTGTGGGGCCCAGGTCTGGCACAAGGCCTTCCCTGAGCTAGGCCATCACACCTTCCCTTCAGCTCATGCATAGCAACTTGCCCAAGACAGAAACTGCCACGCTGACCACAAGAGGTGTAGGGATTCTGGGAGACTGAGGAAAAAAGACACTGGCATTTGGCATGTTTATGACTTTGAAGATTCACCTAGCACAGTGCCTGGCATATGAGAAACCCTCAATAAATGTTGGTGGAGCTGTATTGAAGCTCTTCAGGGAACTGTGTGCTTAAGAAGCAGTGATTTCCAAATGTGGCTTTATAAAGTGGGTAGGGCTTGTTGGAAAGGGATTCTTTGAGAGCAGAGGTCAGTTCTGCTGGGAACTGGGCTTGGAGACTAGGCGCAAGGCCCCAGGGTGTCAACCTACTCACAGATGCTTGGGGATCTGAGGCTGAGGTGGTGGTGGACTTACAGATGCTGGGGTGGAGGGCTCCTGCAGGTTGGGGAAGAAGACAGGCCATGGCCAGTTATGACTTGGGCTCCAGCAGGGGGTGAAGATGTAGGGAGCAGGACAAAAAGGGTGGTCAGCAATAAAGGTCTTTTCTGACGAGTCAAGCATCTCTGTGTTTAATTCAACCAATTCTGCACCTATTTATTGAACGCCTTCTAGGTGCCAGGCACTGTTCTAGGATCTGAGGATACAGAGATGGAAAAAAGAAGGGACTTGCCCTCAAGGAGCCTACATTCTGGGGGTGGGAAGCAGGTGGAGAGAACAGTTACCAATTGTAAGCAATTTAATAAGTAAGATAAAATCAGGTAGCAGTGAGTGCTATGAAGAAAATACAGCAAGCGCTGTGATACAGAATACTCTGTGTGTGTGTGTGTGTGTGTGTGTGTGTGTGTGTGTGTGTAGCTTTGGGGAAGATCCTGGAGGTAACATCTGAGCTGAGATCCAAATGACAAGAAGAAAGCAGTCCTGGGAATATCTGGGCAAAGAGCATTCCAGGGGTGGCAACAAGGGGACTGAAGTTCAGGGAAAGAAGGTAGTGGTCCTGGGGTGGTGCACGTGCTTCTTCAAGTTTCCTGGTTGGGGGAGATTCCACCAAACTCCCTCTCTCTCTGAGATACTCAGAGAAACAGACAGACATCCAGAGGCCCACACAAAGCTACACATATGCCCCATATGCAGTCCCTCCCTGCTCCTCAACCCCTCCTGTAGCCCTGAGGAAGCCCCCGTGCTCCACTTTAGATGTTCTAATAATGGGATAATGGGAAGGCAAGGCCAGATAAGAGTTGTTTGGGGATGTAAGGACACATAAAATACAACCATGTGTTCCAGAAGAGACTGAAAAGACAGGAAGGAAAGGGGACTGTCATGTTTCTGTTATCTTAGAGGCCCCTTTCCATTTTGGGGTGACCTAAGTGAGTGTGTGCAGTCCGGGAGGGATGTGCATTCTGCAGACCTGTCAGAGAGGGTGAGGAGAATGAAGCACAGCTCTGTGGGAAAGGGGTGGGTGTGGGGGAATGAGGCCACCAGGAATGGAGAAAGTGGATGGGAGAAGGAATGGGGCTGGAGTAAGGAAGACAGAGTGGGGGGAGTGATGGAGGCGGTACAGGTGGTGCAGGGCTGCAGGTAACTTGGCAAATCATGAATCCCCCCCCTCCCGCCCCTGCACACCCTCCACCAGGTATGTGCCTCTGTCATCTACCTGTCCTGCTTCCTGCTGGTGCCCATCCTCCTCTCCAACCTGTGTTGCTCCCCACCCTTCCTGCCCCTCTGAGTCGCCTTTGGCAACTTCGCCCTAGGTGCGGGAGGAGGGTTCATGGAGGAGAAGTCTCTCAGTGCTGCCCTGTCTGGCGTTCCAGGCATGGTGGTGGGGGTGGTAAGGGTCAGTGCAAATGTCCCAGGTGGTAGAGAGGTTCACTGACCCATTTGGGGCGTCCTGGAGCTACCACCACTCCATTCTTTCACATTCTATCATGCTGGGGAGGTGGAAGAAACTCGTATTTTCACAGGCCTCAGAGAGGCACAGGTGTGTCTCAGGCCTGGGGAGGTGCCTGAGAGGACAGCGTGGGGAAGCTGGGCGCCATCGGGAGTGTCTCTCTCTGTCTGAGTCAGTATGTGTTCTCTCCACCCCACAGTCGTGCTCCTCATATTTGCGGCCTGCATGTATGGGGAGTCGATGATAATGCAGACGGGACAGGGCCCTGACCTCTCTTTGCACGGGCCCTTTTATGGCCTCTGGGTCAACGTCGCTGTGGCCATTATCAGCGGTGAGCTGAGGGGGATTGCAATCATGACCACCAGCAGCAGGTGGAGGGGAGGCGCCCCTCTTTCCCTGCAGCCTGCTCACTAGCCCTTTGCCATCTCCTTCTAGGCCCCCAGCCCCCCCAGCCCACTTCCCGAGATCCTTTCCAGAGCCCTTCAGCCTGGTCCTGTCCATTCCTGAAACCCTCCCTCTCTTTCCTCCCGCGTTCCTCGCAGGGCTCGCCTCTCTTCAGCTACCAGGCCCTCTGCTCGTTCCCGCTTTCGGGGTTGGCCCGTTCACCAGGCAGGCAACCATCCCGCGCAGGGTTCCGTCTCCTCCACCAGCCTGACGAAGCCCGAAAGCCGCCGACCCTGCTCCCCAGCACGCCCTCTCCAAGCTACCGACTCTCCACCCTCCGGCGGCCGGAGACAGCCTCGGGCCAGAGCGACCGGGGCAAAGGGAGCAAAGCGAGACAATTCCTGCAGGTTTTCCTCCGGATCTAGCCGCGACGCCCTGTGGCCCCGCCCCCTGCCTGGCCCCGCCCCGGGCTCGCCCCGCCCCCCGGGAGCTGCTGCCCTGGCACTGTCCGCGGTGGATCTAGACCTACTGGGCGACCCGGGTTTCCTGCTGCAGGCCTTGGCACGCCTCCTGGCCGAGCTGGGTGTACTGGTTCTCGGCGCTCGCCTCCTACGCGAGGCAGGGCCTGGGGGTGGCCGCCCCCACCGAGAAATCCTTAAGATGTTGACGAGCAGGCTCTGCATCTGCGGCCCACTGCGCCCCTCTCCGCGCTGCCACTCCTGCCCCTCTCACCTGCGGGTCTCTCGAGGTCACCCCGAACTTCCTGAGGTCCAGGGCTGGCATTTAGCTGGCTGATCCCAATTCCTGAGCCTCGGAGGCGGGGTAGACGTTTTCCACTGTTCTCTGGAAGAACACCTGTCTTTGGGAACTCAAGCTTAGTGCTTAAGTCCAAACTGCTCCACATCAGACCTGGAGCCCCATCTCGCTTCTCCTTGCCCCCTGATTCGTTACTTTCTCCTTGTCCACTACTCTGCTTACCCACCTGTCCCCAGCCCCCTGGACTACCCTCCTCTTCATTTCTGAAATCTTTTCCCACTCTATCCACCTTTGGAAATCTGAAACTGCCTTGTGTGGGAAGGGGTTGGGTTGAATTCAGATTTTGTGGGGTCCTTCTAAAGAAAAAAAATACAAAATATGAATTAAAAATTGGGTACAAAAGTGAGTTTTTATTTAGAATGATAAAAATAACTATTTATTTTTAAAAGGTGACAATGAACAACGTAAAAACCCAGAAAAAATAATTTTATTTCCTTTTTTTGCTATTCTAATAGGTGTGTAGTGGTATTTCATTGTGGTGGTTTTTTTTTTCTATAATTAAAATAAATATATGTCTTTATTGATTTCAGAGAGAGAAAGGTAGAAGGAGAGAGAGAGAAACATCAATGATGAGTCATTGATCGGCTGCCTCCTGCACACCCCTTACTGGGGATGAAGCCCGAAACCCGGGCATGTGCCCTGACCAGGAATTGAACCACGATCTCCTGAATTATAGGTAGATGCTCAGATGCTGAGCCACACTGGTCAGACTCATTGTGGTTTTAACTTACGTTTCCTTATGGTGCTTAGTATCTTTTCATGTGCTTATTGACCACTTGAATATCTTCTTTGAAGTGTCTGTTCAAATCTTTTGGCCTTTTAAAAATTGGGTGGTTTATTTTCTTATTATTGTGTTTTGAGAGTTTTTATATATTCTGGACAAATCCTTTAGCAGATATGTGATTTGAAAACATTTTCTTCCAGTCTGTGGCTTGTATTTTCATTATTTTAACTGTGTTTTTCAAAGAGTGGAAATTCTTAATTTTGCAGTCATTTTTTGCTTTGATTTTTGGGCAGCAATTTGTTTCTCTTCCCACTTCTGTTCAGTTGGTATATAAAAGGCATTGAAATTTCCGGCAGAGGCAGGGGCAGAGGCAGAGGCAAGCAAGCAGGACACACACTGACAGGCAGGTCTGTCCATTTTCCCGTGTGCCCAAACCCTTTAGATTAAGAGACATTCCGGGGGTCGTCTGCAGCCTCCTTACTCAGTGTGTGATCCTCGGATGAGCAGCATGGGCACCACCTGGAACCTTGTTACAGGTGAGGCAACTGCATTTTTAAGGAGATACCCTAGTTATCAGCGCACGCATTAGTTTAAGGAACATACCACCACCAACAGGCCCAGACAAAAGAAGGCTGCATACTTTCTCAGACGCAAAAGAGAGGGAAGCATGCAGGCAGCAAAGCAAACCCACATGGACAAGCAAGGAGTCACCAATATGGCTGCGTAACCCCAAGTCCATGTTCTCCAGGTCAGCTTTGCCCACAGTCTTTGAGAGGCTATATCCCATAAGGGGTGTCCAAGCACCTGTCCTCATTGATGGGATGGTGGGCAGTTTCCTTTTCAGAAATCTCTTAGCCTTGCACTCCATTCTGGCTGCACTCTGTATCTGTGTGACCAAGTTATCATTACTTTTGTTCTTAATATATTTTTACTGATTTCAGAGAGAGGAAGGGAGAGAGAGAGAGAGGGAAACATCAATGACGAGAAAATCATTGATTGGCTGCCTCCTGCATGCCCCCTACTGGGGATTGAGCCCGCAACCCTGCATGTGCCCTGACCTGGAATCAAACCTTGATATCCTGCATCCTAGGTCGATGCTCAACCGCTGAGCCACACAAGCCGGCTCATTACTTTTTGAATGCTTGGCTTCCCTTCTTTTGGGAAACTATTCTTCCCCAAGTCCATGTGGTTCTCATGAGTTGTCAGTCAGAGCATCCACCTTCCCATGTTCCTCTGGTTCCTGCTCAGTTCTAGGCCTGGATGTCCAGCTTCGTCTTTGGGTTGGTGTTTACCCGGTTTTGCCCCAATACATTTCTTTTTGCCTAACTTAGTTTGGGTTTGTGCTTGCAACCAAAGAATTCTCACTGATACACAGCCTTACAAGATAGTTGGCCAGTACTGCTGCTAGCCCATAAGGTACCTTTGTGCCTTTAACCTTGTGGTTAAAAGACAGCTCCTCTGAATAAATGTAGGGGTAAATGGCTTGATGGGGAGCATCACCTTTATGAAATATAGAACAAAATGCCTCTTCCTTCAGGCCAGTGGAGCCCTCTTAGAGGGGCATGGCTTTCAAGCAAAATGCAGAGTGGAGTTCAGTTCTCACCTACTCCCTCAGCTGTGTGCTCTTGTGCCGAGCACATCTAACACAACCTAATGCAGAGATCCTGTTGTCAGGTCTCCCACCCTTCCCTTCAGCTCTCTTCTCTTCTTTCCACCTTCCAGTTTATCTCTTCTAGGCTTTTACTTGGGCAACATCAAGGCTGATAACAGCTATGTTTACTTTTGTAGCTATAGTTAAGTCTTCCGTGCTTTGTCCATCTGTTGATTCTAAAAGTTGAAACTCAATTAACAGTGTTTAGCTTAAGTATTGTCACTTATAAATATCTTTCAATACAGAGCTAGTAATCACTAAGATTACATTTCCTCTCTTGAACTATTTTAATTACCTTTTGAAAAACAATATTTGATACACTCACAGGATTATATGAAATATATGTTAGTTATAAATGATTCTAATATCCAATGAATACCCATGTACCTTTCAGGGTTTCACCCAAATCAGGAACCAATAACCTATTGCCAGTAATGCGAATGTGCCGGTATAATCCTCTCTGTCCCATTCCCCTCTTTTCCCTGAGAAATAGGCAATATTATTTTTTGTGTTTATCATTCCACTGCTTTAAAAAAAAAGCAATCATAATAGTATGCATACATAAACAATGCTTTGTTTAGTTGTGCTTGTTTAGGAGCTCTATAAAAATGTTTACAGTGCAGTCTTGTGGGAGTTCTGTTTTTCAGGAAACATTGTATTTCCAAGATTCTTCTATGTTGTTTTGTGTTGCTGTTAGAACTGTTTGTTATGATTAGAAACTCTTAGAAACTCCAGGAACAACTAAAACAGATCCAAGGAAGGAAACCCAATCCTGATGATCACTAGCTCTGCATGAATGACATTCCCAGTAGGCCCAGTACCCCCTCTTCCAGCACTTTTCCCTCCTGGCATAGAACATGCATCAGAGGTATCCCAACCTATGGCCCAGGAAGCTAGGGAATTTGTTCACCAACTCCCTATCTGTCATTAGTTCATGGGTCAGCCTCCAGATCCGGTGCCCCTGACCATGGCTGATTGTTCTAGGGATGGCACTGGTCCCTGGCAGGGCCAAAGAGTGTTTGAACTTGAGACTGAGAGGTCTACTCTCTGACAACCAAACGTAGATAGCGTGGGTATAAGGGCCACATTTCTCACTATGTGGACCAGAGGAGAGGAGGAGGTTGGTCTGCAGAAGAAGAGCAAGATGTTCAGGGAGAAGCAAGACCAGAGTCAGAATGCTATTGTCTGAATGTTTGTCCCCCCAAGTCCATATGTAGGAAAACTACCCCCCAAGTTGGCAGTAGGATGTGAGCCTTTGGGAGGTGATTAAGTCATAAGGGTGGAGCCTTCATGAATGGGATTAGTGCCCTTATGAAAGAGATCCCACGACCCTGGCTGGTGTGCTCAGTGGTTAGAATGTCCGCCCATGCACTAAAGGGTTGTGGGTTTGATTCCCAGTTAAGGGCATGTGCCTGGGTTGCAGGTTCAATCCTTGGCCCTGGTTGGGGCAAGTATGGGAGGCAACAATTGATGCAATGTTTTTTTTCTCTTTCTCTCTCCCCATCCCTCCCTCCCTCTCTCTCTAAAAATCAATAGAAAAAATATCATTGAGTAAGGATTAACAACGACAACAAAGAGATCCCACAGAGCTCCCTATCCCCTAAAGGCACAGCAACCTTGTCCACCATGATGGCACCATGATCTCGGACTGCCAGTGTATGAATTCCTGATTCCAGCCTTTCCTAAGGTGCAGCTATGCACATGACCTCAGGATTCATGATCAACTCACGTTTTGCTTAAATTAATCTAGATTCTGTTCCATCACTTGCAGCCACTGATACGCAAGGATGTTTGCAAAAAAATCTCTGTTTTCGTTCCTTCTCCGTTTGCCAGTGAAAGAGCATAAAAACAATTAAAATGACAATTTAACAATAAGTACCACTTTCTGGGAATTTACTATGATCCATTGAATGCTTTTTGTTAATTACTTCATGCAACACTCAAACCAGGTCTGAGACAAGTATTATTGTCACTGTGTTACAGATGAGTAAACTGAGGCATAAAGACTGAGGCTCTATGACTCATGTGGGTTCACAGCGCTATTAAGAGGAAAGCCCATTATTTACACCCTAGAGTCTGTGTGCTTGACCACATGTGTCACTGTCTCCACAAAGTAAGACAGTGGTGGGATTCAAATTCACACTCCAAATTTGAAAGGCTTTCTCATGAGAACCCCGGGGGCTGAGGTCTGGAAGCCACTATAACCGGCTGCCACAGGACTTAGATTCCTTTTCCTATAACTTAGAAGGGAGATTAGAAAAATCTTCTGGGACTCCATGACACCCACATACCCTGCCCTTATCCCATGTCCTCTCCTTTCTGAGGCTGAGAAGAAAGGTAAAAGGAAAGAGAGAAGAGAATGGCAGCTGTGGACTGGAAGTGAGAAGCGGTGGGAGAGAGGCGAAGGGGTTGGGGGAAGTAGTGAGGCTGGCTGCACCTCTGGAAGGCATTTCCAAATGTTTTCCTGGGGACAGACATCTTCTCCCTCCTCCTGCTCCAGGAGTGAGTGCTTGGGGTTGGCGTTAGGGCAGACGAAACGGGAAGAGAAAGGAAACCCTCAGAGACCATTGCTCTTGGGTGGAGGGAGGCATGAGAGCCACAGTGCTGAGTTGGGACCTGAGGAGCAGTGTTCCAGGAAGGAGTTGGGGGTGAAGCTGTGGGCCCCTCCCCCATTTAACTGCCCCCTAGGAATATTCCACAGCAGTTAGAGGCCCTGTCCTGCTGGATGGGTTGTTCTTGCCCAGGTCCCAGGCCCTTTGGTGTTCCGCTTGATGAAATGTTTAGAAGATGAGGGATAACTGAGCCTGGAAAGGGAAGGGGGAGATGGGGTGGAGGGTAGAGGGGGAGACAGGGGATGCTCAGGATGGGGACAGAGGACATTAAGGGTAAGTTCCCTGGGTTGGGAGAAGGAAGTGATGAGCAGCAGAAGCCTGGAAACCGAGGATAGGGTTGAAAAGAAAGATGGGGTGCTGGGGAGCCCGAGACAAAAGTCAGGGGAGAGCTTCGTCTCTCCCCACAGTGGAAAGAGGCAGTTGCCCAAGGTGTACAGGCATCGGGACTCTCTGTTGCCCCTGAGGTGGAGACTCACACACAGCATCCGCTGGAAGGTGCAGATGCTGTCGGCCGAGCTCAGCCTGATTGCCTTCATCCTGCTGCTGGTCATGGTCTTCTCTAAGAGGTGGCTGTGCCTCTCTATGGTCCGCTTCTACCAGCGCTGGCCTGCAAGTGTTAGCAACAGAATCCACACATCGGTCCATATCATGTCCATGGGGCTCCTGCATATCTGCATAGCCAAGAACTGTCCCAACTCAGAGAATGGGAAAGGTGAGACCCTCCACTGCCCAGTCCCACTCCAGGCCTCCAGCCTGCCTTGGCCTCTCCGTTTATACCCCGGTATTCTTGTCCCCTCCTTCTGGTCATCCTCACTATTTTGGCACACAACGTGACTCCACTGGTGCCCAGACTGCCAAGGATCATTTTTCCTCCTGCTGCCTGGCCAAATTGATCTGCCTGGCCCAGTGGAAAGTGTTACTGCTTTTGATAAGGCTTTCAGTCAAGTCTGCACTTATAAAGATGTTGTCAGAGGCCTGGACTCTCATTGCATGTGAATCACTCGTTGATCACGTAGTTCACCGTTATCCTGGGAGAAGAGCTCCATCGATGTGGGATTTCCTTTCTCTAGCTTGCATACCTATTACCTTGCAAAACGCTAAGCTATTAGAGTTTTGGGAGGAGTCCCCAGAACGCTGTCCCTTAGGCCCCGGCCCCAGCCATTCCCCATCTTTGGCTTCAGGCTTTGCTTTTCCGGGCCAGCTCTGGGTTTCCACATCTGGTTTCCCTGTCCTTCCCACCCCTGGCTCTTGCAGCAGCTTTGTTCCCCACTCTTGTTAATCTCACATCATGATGTCTTCTCGCTTTCCAGATTTGAGTCTCCTTTCTCAGATCTTATGGAAAACCCAAACCTTTGACCTCCCTGTTTCCATTTCTCCACTGTGGTTAACATTTTAAAAAGTTACATAGCTCTTATTTTCTTCCGTTATGAAAGTAATTCGCCCTTATTACAGTACATTAGGGGAAGCAAAAGCTATTATTCACCCCATGCTTATTTTATCTGCTTAACTGACTCTTCATCCACCCTGATGGGGCAATTATCCTTCTTTTGCAGATGAAGAACTTGAGACTGATATTAAGTACCTTGCTCAGGGTCATAAAGCTATTAGGTTGAACCACATGAAATGGCCAATACTTGACTGCCTTTCACCTACAAAAAAGAGCAAATTCATATGGATCGACCTAATAATGGCATGTTTACAGTAATAACTCACGTGTGTCTGGCTCCAGAACTCATGTAAGCACCGAACTTGCTCTGCAGTGCTGCTCAAAGACAGCCACTAACAGCAGGGTGTTGAGCACTCAACTTTTTCCAGGCTTAAAAAAAAATTGAACAAGTTTTAAGTGGCTGTTACATAGATGTCTTTATTCTTCATAAGTAATATTATAGCTTTAAAATTATTTTTATTATTTAATTTATATTTTTTTAAAATTTATCTTTATGAGATAGAATAAACATTTCCATATTATAAGTAACTATAATATTCAACTTAATAAATTTATCACCTCTTACATGACTATTTTCCTATTCTTGGCAAATGTATTTCTAACTTTATACTTGAGGGAAACAGAAACAACAAAATTTGTTAACCGTAAAGTTTTTTTCTGTGTTTAATATTAATTCTTTAGTATAGATTTCCTAAAGTGGGTTTACTGGATCAACTAGTATAAATATTTTAAGGCTCTTAATAACATTTTCCATGTTGCTTTCAAAAAGTATGATAACAATTTATACTTCCACTAATAATGTATGAGAAGGCTTGTTTCTTTGTACCTTTGGCAGCAATGACAACTTTAATTATATATATATATATATATACATATATGTATGTATATTTAAATTTAAATGTGTATTTAGCTAGCCCTGGCCAGTGTTGCTCAGTTGGTTGGGTGTCGTCCTGTGCACCAGGAGGTTGCTGGTTTGATTCCCTGTCAAGGGCACGTGCCTGGGTTGCGGGCTCCATCCCTGGTGGGGGGTGTGCAGGAGGCAGCTGATGCATGTTGTGTTGTCACATCAGTGTTTCTATCTCTCTCTCCCTTCCTTTCTCTCTAAAAATCAATAAACTATTCTTTAAAAATATAGAGAGAGCTCTGGCCTGGTGGCTCAGTTGATTGAGGATTATCCCATACACCAAAAGGTTTCGGGTTCGATTCCCAGTCAGGGCTCATGCAGGAGGCAACTGATCTATCTCTCTCTCCCCCCGCCCTTTCTGCTCACTCTAAAAAGCAATAAAAATTTTTGCCCGGCCAGTGTGGTTTAACGGTTGAGCATCGAGCTAGGATCCAGGAGATCACCGGTTTGATTCCTGGTCAGGACATGTGCCCAGGTTGCTGGCTCGATCCCCAGTTGGGGGTGTGCAGGAGGCAGCTGATCAATGACTCTCTCACCATTGATGTTTCTCTCTCCCTCTCTCCCTTCCTCTCTCTGAAATAAATAAAATAATATTTTAAAAAATATATAAAAATATATATTTAAATTTGAATATATAATTTTTTAAATCTTCACCTGAGGATATTTTTTCCATTGCTTTTCAGAGAGAGTGGGAAAGACAGAGAGAGAAACATCGATTGGTTGCCTCCCACACCCACCCTGACCAGGGCTAGGGAATGAGCCTGCAACCAAAGTATGTGCCCTTGGCTGGAACTGAACTCAGGATCCTTCAGTCTGAGGGCCGATGCTTTAACCACTGAGCCAAATGGCTGGGCCTAAATGTATAATTTTTTAATTAAAAAAAAAGCATTACACACAGTTTTTTTGGGAAATGCAGAAAATTTAAAAAATAAAATAAAAATCACCTAAAATTTTCCCATGCCCGGCCGGGTGTGGCTCAGCAGTTGAGCGTTGACCTAGGATCCAGGCGATCAGGGTTCGATTCTCGGTCAGGGCACATGCCCAGGTTGTGGACTCGATCAATGACTCTTCTCATCATTGATGTTTCTATCTCTCTCTCTCCTTCTCCTTTCCTCTCTCTGACATCAATAAAGATATATTTAAAAAAAAATAATAAAATAAAATTTTCCCACACAAATATTATCACAATTGACATTATAATGAATTTAATTCCAGGCTTTTGTCTGTATATATGCATAAAATAAATACAAATAAATAGATTTTTACTTTATTTTACTTTTTTATTGAATTTATTGAGGTGACATTGATTAATAAAATTATATAGATTTCACGTGTACAATCTATTATTTTTTATTTTAATAAATATATATATTTAAAATTTTAATCATTCTACATGCCTTGTGTTGCAAACTCCACTTTTCAGTTGTGAGCATCTACTTATATCATTAAATAATTATTCTATAACATCACCTATGCTTACAATTTATTTGATTAGGTAGTATATAAACAGAGTGAAAATTCAAAAAATACAGAAGATTACATAGTGAAGTGAGCTTCCCACCTCTGGCTTTCAGGCTTCCCTCCCTTTCTTCTTTCTTCCTAGAGATACTCTATTCAGAGACAGTCATCTGTCATATCATTTTTAATGAACATATAATAGTCCAATGTATGGTCACAATATAATTTATTTAACAAATCTCTTGTTGGACATATAAATATCTCTGCAAAGAAGGTTTCTATATATAGTTTTTGGTGTGATCTTGGATTATTTCATTAATGTAAATTCTGAAAAGAAACATTGCTGTGTCAAAGGGCCTTAACAATTTAGGGTTTTTTATTTGTCTTTTTAAATTTTTTTATTTTGTGCCATATCACTTACCAGAAATGCTGCCTACTAGCAGTGTGTGAGAGTACTTCTTTTTTTTCTAAATTCTTTCCTACATTAGATATCATCACTCTTATTTTGATCTTTGCTAATTTAATAGATTAAAAAAAATCACATTTTGCCCTGGCCGGTGTGGCTCCATGGTTAGGGCATTGGCCTGCCCACAGAAGGTTCTTGGGTTCAATTCCCAGTCAAGGGCATGTATCTAGGCTGCAGGTTCGATCCCTGCCCAGGTCAGGTGCATGCAGGAGGCAATCAATCAATGTGTCTATATTTCTCTCTCTCTCTCCTTCCCTCCGCTCCCTTCCACTCTCTCTTAAAAAAAAAAAAAAATCAATGGAAAAAATATCCTCAGGTGAGGATTAACAACCAAAAAATCACAATTAATTTGTATTTCTTTGTGTTGAGCTTCATGTTTATTGGACTTTCAGATTTCTTCCTTTGAGAACTGCAGTTCAAGTTCCCTGCCTATTTTTTCTATTGAGGTATTTGTTTTTATATGGTTAGGGTTATCAAACACTCTCCATCGAAAACTGTTGCCTGTTTAATAAGTGAAAGTGATATTTTATTATCTCAAATGTGCATTTCTTTGGTTATTAACAGGCCTGAACATTTTCTCATATTTGCTCTTTGGATTATATTTTGTCTTTCATGAATCCTTGGTTTATCCTGCTTTCTCCTTTTTCCCAGACGGTTTTAAGCTGTGGACATATCACCCGCTCTTTGGGGTGGCCAAGATAACCTTCGGCCTGGCCCTGGCGCTGGGCTTCATCTTCACTGTTTGGCTGCACTTGTCATACATTCCTAGTCTTCAAAGATTGCCCTTCTTTGGCTGGACTGGGATGATCATGAGCTTCTGTGAAGGTACCCCCAGCTCTGGAAAAGATCCTTAATTTCACCTAGCCCCATCTTCCTAGGCACTTCTCCCTCTCCCTTTCTTTGGCAGTGGGGTAGGGGTTTTGTGGGTGGTGGTAGAACAGAACTGGTAGGGCTGGTAGTTGTTGACTGAAAATCGATTTCCATCCTTTCCTGGTCACTAGAGAGGTGGAGGTGGGGGGTTGAGTCCCGGGAACCTCTGGGGCCATGTACTCTGTGTGCACTGATGGGAGTTGTGGTTTGTGGCTGTAGTTCAGCAGGTGAGGAAGAGTCCCTATGGGATACTTGGGTGGAAATGACCTCTCTGCTTCCTGTCTCCTAGTTACCTTAATTTTCTCCACCCTCATGTTGTTTCCTATTAATGTCTGGATCTTCGAGTGGAAGAGGAATTTATCAGTCCCAATCGGGTGGACCTATTTCATTGGTTGGGTGGTGCTTTTTCTACATGCCACCTGTGGTGAGTGGCTTAGAGGGCCCTGGGAAGGAGGGGATGTGGGTGGGTCAGGGCAGAGATGGTGTGGAGAAGGGGCTGACAGTCCACTGGGATAGATTTGTAGGGGCTTCCTTTTGGTCTCACCCTGCTTGTCACTTTCCTTCCACTCTGATTTTCTTCTCCCCCATCTCCTTGTCTTTTCCCAGCGATACTCTGCTACTTCAACAATAAAAACTTCTGGAGTCTGATTTTGAGCTGTTCCATTGGCACCATGCCCTGCGGGAGCAGTACCAGGCCAGGTCCTCTGAGTGAACAAATAGTCTCAGACATCTCTGTCAACTAGGAAGAAGTCCTGGATCCTGAACAAGAGAAGGAATCTCTGTAACCTTTTCTGAACTCCTGGCACTAGGTTCTGTCCTTTCATCTGAATGGCCCTCCGCATTCCATCCCATGACCTTTAAGTAGCTCTGCCCTCCTCGCTGCAGATCCTTACGGAGGGAGGGTTTTAGGCCAGCTTTGCACGCCTCTTCCTGGTTCCTGTTTTGCCTACGTTTGGGTAATGTGGAATAAATTGTCTTTCATTTATCATGTCTGGCCGTTGTTGAGACAAGAAAACTTTAAGAAGGAGAGAAAGGGAGGAAAAACAAGTTTGTTTCCCAGTTCTTTCTACCTAGGAGCCTTTTGGCACCCTTTGGTCTCCAAACCTGCCCAGCCGTTCCCACAGCACACTTGTACGCAGGTGAATACCTCTCGAGAGCTAAGCCTCTTCAAACTGTTACCCCCATCTCAACATTTGTTAGTTAGGAGCTGGGGGAGTGATCCGGAGAGAGACAGCACTTACGAGTTTGTTGGCACAATTATTCACAGCAAAGAATTCGAGAGCAAAATGGCCTTTGGGTAAGAGGCAGGTTAAACAATGAGAGCACCACAGGGGGTATGGTTGTGTCGTGTACCCTGGATGGCAGTCCCACCCTCTGTCCAGCTCAAATGACTAAGAACTCACAGAGCGCTCCGCCTAGGTGCCACCAGCACCAACTCCAACTCTACCTCCACCACCTCCTCCACCTCCACCACCTCCACCTCCAGCACCTCCAGCTCCACTTTCACCACCACACTCGCCACCACTTCAACTTTACCATCTCCAGCCCCCTCACCTCTGGCTGCCACAGCTCTCTGCCCAAGCCTCCCATGTTTTCCACTCGGTAACAGCAGGAATAACGCAGGACAAGAAAAGAAAACATTAGGGTTGGGCCCTAAGATCCTAAGATCAAAAGGCAAATTGCACATTTGGATATAAACGCAGTCCCACAAAGACACGGCAGCAGCCAGCTTGGACAGTGATGGCAGTGACTATTGGGATTCAGTCGTCTTGCACAGAAAGACTGGCCTCCCAGGAGAGCATCTATGACTGACCTTTGTCATGTAAAATCCTTCCAGATGGAGTCATGGTGCCAGCCACCTGGAGGAGTGCAGGGACAAGTTGTGAGTGGATTTGGTGTGTTAATAATATATGTATTATTAGGTTGAGCCATATGATACTGCTGTTTTAGCAGTTAAATGTTGGCAGTTTCATATGGTTCAACCGACTATACATGATTGATTTCTATTTGAGTCTCTTAAGATTCTTAGTCTTACCCTACCTAACCGGAAGTTATGAAATTTCTAACCTAGTTCCAAGGAAGTATTCTGAGCAATGAACCTCATACATGGGCTTGAAAATTAGGCAAAACAGACATTTCACAAAACCCTACTCATTGTTTCCGTTATACTCTTTCCCTGTGGTAGCTAGCAAGGTTTTATTGGGGGACTTATTAAATTAGCCAGCCTGCCCTGGCCGGTGTGGCTTAATGGTTAGAGCGATGGCCTGTGCACCGAAGGGTTGAGGGTTCTATTTCCAGTGAAGGGCATATACCTTGGTCAGGGCATGTTCAGGAGGCAACCAGCCAATGTGTCTCTCTAGAATTGATGTTTCTCTCTCGCTCCCTCCTCCCTTCCCTCCCTTCCACTCTCTCTAAAAGGAATGGAAAAAAATATCCTTAGGTGAGGATTAACCAAAAATAATAATAATAAAAATAAATAAGTAAATAAATTAGTCATCCTGGGGGAAGGGACACAAAACAAAGGGATGTCATGACCCCTCTCTTAGAGATATACATAATCTAATAGGAGAAAGTGACTTTGTGATTTTGTAGTAGTCATAAACTCAGATGCCTACAGAGGCTAGGCAGTTAACATAAATAAAGGGGGTTACTCTTCCAGTCTGTAATTTTCCACTTTTGATAAAGAGCTAGTATATTACCTATTTCTGGATAACAAATTAGCTGGAGTCAGGAATCTGGAAGCAGCTTAGCTGAATGGTTCTTGTTCAGGATCTTTCATGAGGTTATAGTAAAGATGTCAGCTAGGGCTGCAGTCATCTGAAAGCTTGAATGAGTCTGAAAGATCGACTTCCAATATGATTCACTCACATGGCTGTTGGCAAGAAGCCTCAGTTCCTTGTGGCAGGGCCTCTTCATAGGCTGCTTGAGTGTTCAGAGCCAATTTTCCCTGGAGTGAGCTATCTAAATGATGGTGAGGAAGCTCCAGTACATTTTATGACCCAGTCTTGGAAGAAATAATGTCACTTCCACCATATTTTATTTGTAAAATAAAGTAAGTCACTCAACCTATTCCCCACTTAAGGGGAGAGGCATTAAGCTTCACCTCTTGAGGGGAATATCAAGAACTTCTGCAGTCTGTCTCTGGTTACAAATCATTTACTTTCCTCCCGCGTGAAAAATACACTCATCTCTCCCAAGGCCTTCCAAAGTTTCATCCCATTACAGCATCAATTAGCTGAAAGTTCAGAATCTTGCTGTGTTGTAAACTGGGGAGTAAGTCTCCCTGTGGCATCTTTTTGATTATCCCAACAAGGCTGTAGAAACTACACTCAAATGAGAGGGTTTATTCATAGGTCCTAGGAGAGGGGTCTGATGTGCCATGCAGGGGGCCACAAGGGAGGAGCGCCCAGGAAGTGGGCTCCACCAAGAAGACGGGGAGCTGAGAGAGAGTGAGAGCCCATGCGAAAGCGCTTTTATTTGGGTCGGGGGGATATACAAGCAAAAGGCACGAGGGAATTTCACTGGTGTACTTGAATGTCTCGAGGTCACAGGAGAGGGCAAGAAGGGGAACCTGTGACAGCCTTATCACACTGGTGCACCTGGTCTCCTGGTAGGGTGTTCACAGCCTGCCTGTTTGGGGGGATGTTGAAGCATCAGGAAAATATGACGTTTGGAAAATATGAAGGTTAAAAAATATATAATGCATCTGCCACCTGTTATGGGCTGAATTGTGTCTCGCCCACCCAAATTCATGTGTTGAGGCCCTATTCCCTGGTACTCCCAAATGTGACTGCATTTGTGGTGATTAAATTAAAATGAGGCCATTAGGGTGGGCTCTAATTCAATCTGCCTGATATCCTCATAAGAGGGGATATGAGGAATACAAAGTGACACCAGAGATGTGCATGCACAGAGGAAAGGCCAAGTGAGGGCACAGTGAAAAGGTGGCTATCTGCAAACCAAGTAGAGAGGTCTCAGAAGAAACCAAACCTCTCTACACCTTAATCTTGGACTTCTAGCCTCCAGAACTGTGAGAAAATAAATTTCTGTTGTTTAAACCACACAGTCTGTGGTATTTTGTATGGCAACTGGAGCAAACTAATATACCATCTAAATTAGGTCTGGGAGCAGATGAGACTCTTTGGATATAATTTCTTAGGTACAGCTCCTTTCAGTCTGAATACCTGTGACATGAAGAGACAAGTTATCATCCCCTGCATATCAATACAATGATGGGACAGTCAAAAGATAACCATTATAGGCATTACTGTTTAAAGCGGGGTGGGAGGATTGAGAGGCACACAAGAGTTCATAGCAATTCTCAAATCCAGCTGAGAAAGTGTTTAAATTTCCTCCCTCAGAACTCAATCTGATTTTTGTCCAAGAGTGAGTCTCCATGGATCTTTTTTTCTTATTTTTAAAAAAGGTATAATTAACATACCATAAAATTTACTTTTTTTTTTTTTAAATCCTCTCCTGAGGATATTTTTCCCATTGCTTTTCAGAGTGGAAGGGAGACAGAGAGAAAGAAAGATTGATTGGTTGCCTCCTGCACACAGGATCAAGCGTGCAACTGAGGCACATGCCCTTGGTCAGAATAGAATCTGGGACCCTTCAGTCCAAGGGCCGATGCTCCAGCCAGTGAGCACACCAGCCAGGGCTAAAACCTGCCGTTTTATTTTATTTTATTTTATTTATTTATTTTTTAAATTTATCTTTATTGTTGAGAGTATTACAGG